AGTGGAGAGSAAAATAACACTTAGAGAGTTTCAGAAAGGCTCTGAAATAGGCATTTACTAAAACACAGAGAATCTGTGCCCTGGAAATGCCTGTGTCAGTCAGCTGTAGCTCAGATGGAGAGGTCTGGAGACATCTGATGTTACGTGCATTGGGTCTGGGGAGCTGGGCGAGGTCATTGGTGCCATTTAAAGGGAAGACAAGAATTGTATGAGAAGGGGGCAGTGAGGCTGCAGGGGACACAGGGTGGCTCAGCCAGCTCCTGGTGGGCTGGGAGCTGGGGAAGRGCTGCAGGGCAGGAGGTGTGGGTGCCCCAGGGAGCCAGGACATCTCGGCTGGAGCTTTGCACAGGGCGTGGGCGAGGTGCCAGCCCCTCACCATCGATCTCAWATTGATGCTGTTYGAGCACAGGATGCTGGAAAATYTCTGTCGTGTTTTCYTCCCCCTGGCAGAGCTGTGACCAGTGCACCATCTCTTTGACGTCATGTCTGTGCACAAGGGCATCTTTTTCGTGCGTGGTGTCCTTCAAAGAGAGCGTGTGTAGGTCAGAGAGTTTCTCATTACAGCTTTGCATGGTACTGCTGATGTGATTTMACTAATTCTCCAAGAACAATAAAGCAAAATTCAGCACAGGGTAAAGTAACTGCAGATGCCTATTTTTGGTAGCATTTTTCAGGTTACTATTAACTTTTCATTTGAAATTTAATGCTGAGGACTGCACATTGATCCTGAGCTGTTTCTTGGAACAGCATCAATTTTCCATTTAGAAAATTGCATTTTTCCCAAGTTTAACCCTGTATGGGTTGCTGTTAATTTTTTTCCTGAGAGACACTTTCCTATGGAAACTTAGTCTTTGGGTCTGAAATTCAAACCAAGTTTGCCAAACCCTAGGAATTATGATAAATAAAATAGAAAATGCTGTAGGAAATTACATCTGAACTGAGGGAGGAACTTATTTAGAAGATGAAGGCCRAGTACAGAAAAGTAATAAAACAGAGTCAGAATTACAGTTAGAATTAAAACAGGCCTRTGGCCAAATGTAAAGATACTGTTTGAGTGGATGAAAAAACATTGAAAACAAAGCCAGAGTAGTAGCTGGCAACAGATAACATCTGGCAAAGGATTTGCTATAAAAGGCATTTCAGAGAAATGGTGGGTGAAGAAATTTCTCTGTCACAGGGTTGGAGGTAGAGAATCTTTAATGTTCTTTYCAACCAAGCCATTCTATGGTTCTKTGRARGAATCCCAATATAATRAATGGCATTTTTCCATGAGAAACAGAGGTATTGCAAGTGTCCCATGGTGCTGAGRAGGCTCCACCGTCAGCCTTCTATATCTGGACATTCAAATTCCTGAGGCAGATTAGCAGTGCTGAGCCTGGTAATCAGCATTAATGAGCAATTTCCAGTGCCTGCAAGCATGGAGTGTGATGGGAGGGGTGGGTGCTGCAGTCAGGGGGTGCTCCCAGCTCGTAGGGATGGATCTGAGCTGCTCTTGGTGCTGAGGGCATCACCAGGGCTGCTGAACCAGCTTGAGATGATGGATATTGGTGATGCTGAACCACAGCTCCATGCAGTGACATTCACCCATTGTAGGGAGCCACGCTGGTTAAATAAAGCTGAAATTGTGAGCTGCTGCCATGCCTGTGATGCAGCATAAACATATTCTGGTTATAAAAGATGGACACAGCTGCGTCCTCAGTGTGTGTTTCCTAGAATCACAGAACCAAAGAATCAGAGAATCACAGAATGGTTTGTGTTGGAAGAGACCTTAAAGACAAAAAAAATCCAGTGCCATGGGCAGGGGCATCTTCCACTGTCCCAGATTGCTCAAAGCCCCATCCCACCTGGCCTCGAACAATTCCATGGATGGGGCATCCACAGCTTCTCTGGGCAATTTTTTTTTGCAGATTCTTTGTAAGAGGGCTGGAAGTAGATAGTCTGTAAGGTTCCTTCCAGCCCAGCCCATTCTGTCGTTCTGTGTTTCTGTGAATCTGTGGTTCTATGTTTCTAAGGCAGTAGCAGGGGCATCTGTCAGAGATTTTTGGAGCTGTGCATGTGTGTGTGACCAAAGGCAAAAATTATTTTGAAGAGTCTACAATTATCAGATAAACAGCCATGTCCACAGAGGTGTTTTCAGGCATAAAGCTGAGTTGAAAATCAGACAGAAAGCAGTCAAACAAAAAACTCCACCTCAGCCACTCTTTCACAAGGGAACTTAGCACAGTGCAGGGAAAAGCAAGGGCAAGAGACCACATGAGAACTCTCATTCTGCTGTATCACCTTTGTGAGTGTTGTGACCCCTCTGTGGACACAGTGGCACACAGGGATGGGGTGGTCAGAGGAAAGAACTTTTGTTGGGTCCATCTCTCCAGAAACCTCACCTGACTGGTTAAAACTGGCCAGGTTTCAATGGAGAAATGGAAACTTAACCCCTCTGCCTGAACATGGAAGGAGAGCAGAGGCCTTTTATTCTTTACWATTTTTGTTGCTGTCCTGAATTTTGAATCTCTGTTGATAGCTGACAGTCATCAAGCCATTAAAAGGGATGTTTCTGCACTGCATGAAGTGTCCTTCACAGCTGCCCCACTTCAGGGACCTGCCTTGGCTGCAGAGGGATTGCATTGCTGGCCAGACATCACTGAAGTGTGCTTTGAGAGGGTGGAGAGCAACCTGGATTGTTTACACCAAACTGCTCTCTAATTTTTTTTACCTGATATTAAATAAAAAGTGGGTCTGAAAGTGAGTCAGATTCAGAGCACTTCAATATCCTTTCCTTTGCTTCACTCCAGTCTTGCATATTTAATTTAATTWAAAAAAAAATTAAATGTCATATGAACTAAAAAGTGGATCTATTACATTTATGTATTCTGGTTGCCTTGCAGGCAGATGATTCAGGACTTTTTTTTTTTTTTAATATATTCCCGAAAGATTGCATAATGATATGAAAGGGGAGGAAATACATATTATAACTGAGTATATTTGTAGAGTTGGGAGTGTGTTATATCACATTTCTTGTGTTGATCTGTGTTAGATTTTTTTTTGAGACAAATAATTTTCCTTTCCACTGTTCTGTGACTTAGGTTTCTAAACCATGAATTGAGCTACAAATATAATTATTCAGCTATGAAAATATTAATTCCGGAGAAATCAGATTATTATTTGCACCTGGATGCAAAACATCTGAATATCTCTGGAGAACTATGGTAACAGTAGGAGAAGTATTAAACTTAGTGTTGTTTGTTTTTCTACGAGTAAATGAAGAGAATTGCAAGTCTTCTCCATGTGAATCAGCTGAATATTTGCAGGARTTAACAAATCTGTATCAGAGCCAGCACAGACCAATCCTTATCCCCCTGATCCCCCTTCTTCTGCTCCACCCTGTACAATGTCAGCTGCAAGGGAAGGAGCAGCAGAAGATTGCCCCCAAAATAATCCCTGTGTGCACAGAGTAGCTCCTCCTGAGGTAGCAGAATTAGGGGCTGATGTTTGCTGTGATGGCAGGAGGGTGGATTTCTGCTGCCTCTTGAGTGGGGTTTGCTGCAGTGAGACTGAGCTGCACCAGCTGAGGAACTCTTGGGCTGCAGACACAGCCACTGCCTTCCCTCTGTGGTTCGTGGCCAGTCCTGCCAGGAGATGAGAGAAAAATTGAAAGGAGCCAACCAGACTTCATGGATCACAATAGGCTACCCCAAACCTTCATAAACATTGAGCCTGTAGTTAAATTTTCCTTGGTCCCATGATTTTTTTGTGTTATTTTTGTGAAGGGATGTGCAGTGTTGGAGGTGGGGTTCCCCTGAGGAAATGGAGAAGGCTCCATCCAAATTAAGTGGCTACTTTTCCCCTGATGCCAGTGGGGAGAAGGAAATGTTTCTGGGATGTGCTATTTCCTTGTCCCCTCTTCTAAAGGTGTCTAAAAAAATCCATGGCCAATGTTTTACCTTTGTTAGCTGCAGAGGGAGCTGGAGGTGGCCTTACCTGTGGAGAGCCATGGCATGGAGCTTGCCAGGATGTGTCATTTGAACATTGGTCTGTTCTCTCTGAAGAAAGTTATTCACCATTTTTGGTGAAAGTTATTCACCATTTCTGGTGAAAGTTATTCACCACTTCTGCCAGCTCTGCCCAGACTYTTTCTTGATACCAAGCTGGTTGAAGAATGAGATGTTGCTGAGGTTTATTTTAACCATAAAATTCAGGGCTATGAATGTGAAAACAGCTATAAACACAAAACTAAAAATGTAATTAAATGTGAGGCTASATTTTATGTGGGATCTGAATCAATACTATTAATAAGATTAATAGCTAATATTCTTTCCTAGCTAAAGCTGGGAAGTTTTTTACTGTTTTTCACCGAGTCTGCYCAGGGCCAATCTCAGCCACAGAGACCACGGGACTGATCTCCCCTCACATCATCATCCTGCCTTGAGGTACTCCTCAGAACTGACTCTGGATGCATTTTCAGAGCTATCCCAATTACTAGGGTTATATACCCAATAYTAGGGTTCACCTCCCCTGATTTGCCTGGGATTCCTCTGAAATTGTCAAAGAGGGAAAGGCACTTGCAGGAGGAATCATCCCATCCATTTCAGACACCCAGCCTGTGATGGGATGACTTGTGCTGTGAGTGTGACTTGCTGCAATGATCAAAGAGGAAGCCTATAGCTGATCTGCTATAGATCAGCTGCTGTGATGGACAGAAATTTTGGATCAATCCTGCTCTAAGAGACTGGGAAAAAAAAAATCTAATGGAATCTGTGTCCTGTCTATCAAGTGTTTTTGCAAATCCCACCTTCTGCCCTCGTATTTGTGCTGCACAGCATCCGATGAGTGCTGTGCTTGCTCTGTGATGACACACGGCAGTCATCAAAGCTGCACAGTGTGTTCCACGCCAGCTACTTCCCCTCTGGTCTAATTACAACTGAGTTTGCTAATCCCGGTCTTGATTAATGAGCTTAATATGCAAATGTTATGATGAAACTGAAACTCTTTGTAATTGCTTGCAGACAGATTACCACTTCGAGTACACRGAGTGCGACAGCAGTGGCTCCAGATGGAGGGTGGCTGTCCCGAATCCATCCGTGGAGTGCTCTGGACTACCTGACCCCGTCAAAGGGAAGGAATGCAGTATGTTGCCACTTTTCATTTTACAGACTTTTGTGCTATTTATCTTTGATGGGTTTCCTCGGTCTGTCACTGATGTCCTGAGTTTGCCTGAGGTAGTCCTTCCCCTCCAGTCCAACTCTCTGTGTCCCGGAGATGTGGAGCAGGGATTGTCTTTGCTGTGTGTCTGTGAAAGTCACTGCTGCAGATATCCTTGAGTGCTGATTCACAGGTGAGGCACATCTATGACAGCACCCCCTGAGGAGATGTGGTTGCTTATCTTGAGCTGCCCTGCTCTCCTGYTCTGCAGCTTTCCAGTTCATTTGTAGCTGTATTGGCCAAAATGGTGACCAGGAGTGGTCAAACTACATTTGCATAACATCCACATTCTCATTGCTTTCATTACTTAGCTAATTAATAAGCTGAATGCATAAAGAATGATAAATGTCTTATTTGCCTGAGCTATTTTTATGATGAAGCTCCTGCATTTTATTTATTTATGTATTTATTTTTAACAGCTTGGAGTGTTTTCATATCACTTGGTTCTGCATTTTTTTTWAWKKTKRAAMMMYTYYTTKSMAMYKGGG